GTGCGCGCAGCGGCCGTTCTCGTTGGTGTAGAGGATCTTGTAGTGAGGCTTGAGGCGGGCGAGGATGTAGTTGGCGTTAAGGATGGCGGTCTTGGTGGCGAGACGGAGACCGTCGTTGCCCATCAGTGCGTTGTAAGCCCAGCTGATGGGGAGAATACCGGCGCTGCCGAAGGGGGCGCTGGAAACCATGGCCTGGTCGGCGTCGTGAGCGAGACCGGGCAGGAAGGGAGCGAGGTGCTCCTTGACGCAGATGGGTCCGACACCGGGACCACCACCGCCGTGGGGAATGCAGAAGGTCTTGTGGAGGTTGAGATGGCAGACGTCGGCGCCAATCTCGCCCGGCGAGGCGATACCAATCTGGGCGTTCATGTTGGCACCGTCCATGTAGACCTGACCGCCGTACTTGTGGACGAGTTCACAAGCCTTCTTGACCGCGGGTTCGTAGACACCGTAGGTGCTAGGGTACGTGACCATGAAGGCACCCAGCTCCTCGGCGTGCTTCTTGCACTTGGCCTCCAAGTCCTCGATGTCAAGGTTACCGGTCTTCTGGTCGCACTTGATGGGGACGACACGCATACCGGCCATGGCAGCGGACGCAGGGTTGGTACCATGGGCGGAAACGGGAATCAAGCAAATGTCACGCTTCTTGCCACCGGGCTTGGAGAGAAGGTGCTTGCGGATGGCCTGAAGACCAGCAAACTCGCCCTGAGCGCCAGAGTTGGGCTGCAGAGAGACAGCGTCCATAGAAGTGATGCCCTTCAGCTGATCAGAGAGACTGTCAATCAAGGCGGTGTAGCCGGGGAGCTCGCTTGCGGGAGTGTGAGGGTGGATGGTGGAGAAGCCGGGGAGGGTGATCAGAGCCATCTCAGTCGCGCCGTTCAACTTCATGGTGCAGGATCCAAGAGGGATCATAGAGTGAACGAGAGACAGATCCTTGGACTGGAGGTAGTGGATGTAACGGAGGATCTCGGTCTCACTGCGGTGAGTGTTGAAGACGGGATGAGTGAGATACGCGGATTGGCGGCGCAGAGTAGCGGGAAGGAGCTCGGTGATGTCCTGTGTGAGAGCACCGTAGGCCTTGCTCGCGATCTCAGCGGTCTGGGTACCGGTAGCGCTGCCGAGGACGGCGGCAATGGACTTGAACACCTCCTCAGTTACGTGCTCATTGACGCTGATGCCAATGTCACCGTTTCCGAAATCGCGGAAGCCCAGGCCAGCCTTCTTGGCCTCGGCCAGGATCTTCTGAGAACGATCGCTAGCCTTGATGACGACGGTGTCGAACAGAACCTTGCCATCAGGGCTGGCGCCGCTCTGCTCAGTCTCCAGACCCGAGGCCTCGGCAACGGCCTGGACTCCACGGGCAAGACGAACCAATCTCGAGGCAATCTCCTTCAGGCCCTCGGGTCCGTGGTAGACGGCGAACAGGGCAGCCATGTTGGCCAAAAGAGCCTGAGCGGTGCAGACGTTGCTGGTCGCCTTCTCGCGACGAATGTGCTGCTCACGAGTCTGCAGAGCCAATCTCAGGGCGCGGTTGCCGTTTCGGTCCTTGGAGACACCGACCAAGCGGCCGGGCATGCGGCGCTTGTGGGCCTCCTTGACGGCAAAGAAGGCGGCGTGGGGTCCACCGAAGCCGAGGGGAACACCGAAGCGCTGGGCACTGCCAAAGGCAATGTCAGCACCCCACTCGCCGGGCGGTGTGAGAACCGTCAGGGCAAGCAGATCGGTAGCGGCACTGAGGAGGGCACCTTGCTCATGAACAAGGTCGGAAAGACCCTTGAAGTCCTCAACCTTGCCCTTGGTGTCAGGGTACTGAACCATGACACCAACCAAGTCCTGTCCCAGCGCCTTGATCTTCTCTGCAGAGTCCGCTGCGTTCACGTCGAGAATCTCAACCTTGATGCCGAATCCTTGAGCTCTGCTCTGGATGACTGAAATAGACTGAGGGTGGACGAGGTGTGAGACGACAAAGGTCTTGCCGGGTCTCTTGGCCCGGGATGATGAAAGAGCGTTCATGGAAAGAGTCATGGCCTCGGCGGCGGCCGTACCCTCATCCAACAAACTGGCGTTGGAAATAGGGAGTCCGGTCAGATCGGACACCATGGTCTGGTAGTTGAGAAGGGACTCGAGGCGGCCCTGGCTGATTTCGGGCTGGTAGGGAGTGTAACTAGTGTACCAAGCAGGGCTCTCAAGCACGTTGGTCTGAATAACACGGGGCGTAACGCTGGGGTTGTATCCAGCTCCGATAAGAGGCTTAGGAGCGGCCTCGTTGGCCTTGGCCCAAGCAGTGGCTCTCGCCAGAACTTTGCTCTCATCGAGGGGGCCCTCATTGTCCCAGGCGCCAAATGTCTTCCTCTCGGAGATGACATCCGGAGGGACAACCTGAGCAATAAACTCGTCAATTGACTTTGCCGGAGGGTCGAGCGCCTTCAGCATGGCCTCAGCATCGGTAACATCAGGGCCGATGTGTCGGGGAATAAAGGACTCGGGCCTCTGCAGCGGTTCAAGGGAGGGATCGACTGAGCCAATCTTTGCACTGGTGGCATTCTGACGAGCTGCGAAGGCGCTGAATGTCCTCACGCGGGGAACTCGCGAGGATGATGCCGAGCTTGAGGCACATGAGTTGCAAACCCACGAGGAAGCTGGTGTCTGGCGGGCGGCGATCCTTGACCTCGGAGCAGCCAGCCGAAGCTGGCGGGGGAGGGGCAATCTCAGCGATGCCATTGTGTGAAATGAGTAGAGTGGCAATTCACACAAAGAAGATGAAAATGCCAGTGAGACTCGACAATGTCGGAGGTGTGTCTTGAAGAAGAATAGAAAAGAAGAGAGAAAAAGAAGGACAGGTGTTGTGGTTGAAAGAGTCGTGCGTATAGAAGTAAGGTATTGCTCGGATCTGGGGCCGATATCGTTGTAGCTCAAGAAGTAACACCCTTGTCGCCACCAACTTGCGATCCGAGATGCGACTCGGGATAAAAGCGACCAAGCTCTCGCACGCAGCCCAAATCCCGTTTCAAAACACCTGAATCCAGGTCTTGACGCGAAGGAGGTTTCTGTTGAGCAGATGGGATGATTGTCCGGGAAGAATAAATAGAAGCCAAAGTAAAAGTAGACAATTGAACAGCTTCCGGAATGCTCTTCAAATATGAAGGAGTCGGTGAGAGCGAGCATGAGGACCGGCAGCCATCCGCCCTTTCTTTCGTTTCTTTTTGCGGCAACGGCTACTTATCGAGACAGCGGTACGTACTGCATAGTCAAAACACCAAAGGTACGGATACCAGGCCACCAGACGTGGCCAGGGATACCGTTCCTGAATCGTATACCTATACAGTAGTGTAGTGAGGTATGTGGAAGTAGATCTCCCTACGAATCACAGAGTGAGATACAGACTACTGCATATTGGACCGCCCGCTCGTTCGCCGCCGCAACGGACACCCTAAACACCCGACGCCAAACACCAACCCTTTCGGTTGGTTACGGGATCCCTGGGAACCGCGCACCAACACCCTGAGAGGTGAGGATGCGAGGTGAGACTGGGCCTTATCGGGTGCGCAGCGGCGCTCACTGATAAGCGCGGTCAGGACGATAGGGAAGCTTGATGATGGGTGCCAGTTGAATATGATCCATAGCCTGTAGGTGGGCTCCAGTTCCCCAGCCATTCCCTGACTTTGGGGCCCCGGCACGTTGGGCAAACTGCTCGGCGAGCCATCCATGAGCCGCCGCCATTACGTCCAGAAACGGATGTGAAGGCCAATGACAGGTCGTAAAGGTTGGCGGGCGGGAGACTAGGTTCTGGGGCTCTCGTTCGCGCAGTGTATTCCCAAGCGGTCGTTTGGTTTGGAGGGCTGGAGGGGCGCGGATGAGGAACCGAGTGCTCGGTCAGAGAGCCGAGTACACCACCACCTCAGACCTGCCACCAAGAAACGTTTCCCGGTCCCATCTCTTTCATAAACTTATGCCACGACCCGCCTTACCTAAGCATCCTTGTTTTGTGCATGTGAAAACTCGATTAGGTAAGGAGAGTGAGTACCTAAGCATGCGCCTGTGGAGACCTCAACTTTGAGGCTCGCGGTATGTACGTACCGGCCGGGACGGAGCTCGAAATGGAGCTTCTCTAAATTTTTGCGACGACATCATCGCTGAACCTGGCACTGACGCGAAATCCCAATCACGAACGAACTGCCCATCTTGCACCTTCGCCCACAGCCATTCACTTCCTCAAAGCCAATATCAAAAAGCTAACGACAAGATGTTCGGAGGATGTACGTTCCCTATTTACCTTATGCGAGCCGAATTGCACCGACACCAACGCTGACCATCTTTCTCTGTAGTCGCGCCCCCCCAGCTTTCCGAGGAGGAGATCAAGCAGATGGAGGCTGAGGCCAACTTCTCCATTCAGCAGGTCGTCGTCTCTGCCGTCCTTCTGTACCTCTGTAGGCTCAGATCCCTCTCTTTTCTTTAAACCAAATAGGTCGTCAGAACAGATGCTAACGAGAGACTCCTTGTCCACAGCCCCTTTTGTTATCGATGCCGCCTCTAAGGTCCTGTAAAGGACTTACCATTGACCAATGACAAATCGAGGAGCTTGCCAAAGTTCAGGATCACGACAAAACGAAAAGGACCGCGAAGAGGTGCTCTCTACGAGCAATCAGGTTGCGGCACCAATGAAGCGCTGCTAACCACCCACCCGCCTCAGGGATGTCTAATGGGAATAATTACCCCTGTTGTAAAACAAATATCATCTGTACAGTGTAGAGGACAACTGGTTGGATGGGCTATGGGTATAGATCACATCGGAATCAGGATGAAAAGAAATCACGACTTTTGTTCCAAGCTTCCTTCATTGCTTGCGTTGTTGGAGGGAACGCCCTCTCAGTCCTTTTTCTTGATGCGAATAGTAGGCCACCTCCCTTTTGCGTTCATCCCGTACGTAAAAGCGTCCGCTCGCACCGTCCTCTATTATGACATGCCTGGTAATAACCTTCATCCCAAACGACCTAGGTACCTTAGCTCGGGTTCCGCTCCTTCTCCCAGTCCGCAAAGTCTTTCGTAATGGACTCGACTTCCTTCTTGAGGTGCTGGATCTGCTTCTCATAGTCTTCCAAGACCTATAATCACTGTTAGCGCCCAGAATCAAATAATCTGCCGGATTGCAGATACATACCTTCTTCGTCTTGTGCTCAGTCTCCTCGCTCAAACCTTCGCCGCTCGCGAAAGCAGGCTTATTCGTCTCCTTCATCAACTGGTCCGCGTAGTCCCTGAGTACAATCAGCCGGCTCCAGAGCTCCTCCTCTCTCGCGGCCAGAGCAGGGTCCTGTACGTTGCGCTCCAGCTCCGCTAGCTTGAGTCGCAAATCGTCCTCGTCACCGCTGAGAGCGTATCCACGGTTGCGTAGCACCTGCACGCGGGCAGCCAGCGCGAGACACCGCTCGCGAAGGACGACGTGACGGCGGCGGGCCGCAAGGGCACGCACACTAGTCTCGAGGTCGTGCCGTGAGAGGATGGCGTCAAGACTGGCGTTGATCTGGTGCAGGCGCACGTTGAGTTCCCCTACAACCTTCTTCTGCGTCTGGAGGCGGGCCGCGACGCCGGAGAAGCCTGTGCAAAGGACCGGGATGTAGCCCGGCGCGGGCTTCTTTTGCAGCGCCTCTTCCCAGTCTCTCGGATCTTCGTGTGGGCCGGGCTTGTAGAAGGGAACGGAGGCTTCGTCGACTTTGTTGTAGAAGTAGTGCTTGAAGGCGCAGTTGGGGTTCGTGGGGTTCCACTTCTCGAAAATGAGGGACATTTGTTCAGGAATAGGCTTTTGGTTCTCTGCAGATTGTGAGTTAGCAGTGATCCAAATGTAATAAGCTGCCAGACGAGCACAAAAACGTACGAGGCGTGTCCCTTCCGGGTTGCCAGAGTGAGCTCGAGAGCTGTGCTTGCGACTGCGACAGACTAGGCATTTGTTGTTGCTGCTGCTGCTGTTGTTGCTGCGGCTGCTGAGACTGGGCCATGGAGTTGCCAAATGCGCCTCCCTGAGTCTGATTCTGTCCTCCAAACAAGCTCAAGCCGGATTGCTGTTGCTGCTGCTGCTGTTGCGGCTGCTGCTGTGTTGACTGTCCTAATGTGCTGCCACCAAAACTACCTCCTCCAAAGAGACCTCCAGTCTGCCCAGCGGGCTTTGGTGCGCCGAACAAACTCATGATGTGGAATGAGTGTCAAATATGAGTGTGGTAGTTTTCGGAGTAAAGCGCCGGCCTGTCACGGGTGTCGTCTGGTCGTGGGCGCTTTATGCGCGAAGTTGCAGACGAATGCGAACAGCAAGCCAAGGAGCTCAGCGCGTAATTGATGAAGGAATTGAGGTGAGGACTGGCGGGTATCAAAACAAAGAGAAACTTCCAGGAGCGGCCGGGGCGCGGAGAAGCTGGTCGAACTCTTTTTTACTTTTTTTCGAGCGTTGGCGGAGATGGCTCGCTGGGTATCAGTCGCAAGGCTGTTCAAAGCTACCCTTGGGAGACGAGAACCGAGCCCAGCAACGCGAAAATAATAAATCGGAGCTTGCAGCTGTTGCAGCCTTCACCAGGGGCCACACGTTCCCAGACCGAGCCACCTTGCTAATGGGCCAGTCCCCAGCCACATTGGCTCCACTTCAGCCTCGCCCCTAACCGATCCAATCAGGCGTCTCCTAAATCGACCTCACATCAATTCGTGGTAGCGTCCATTGCCTGGAAAGCTTGCTCTGGAGACCATCCGAACCGCCAATTCGACCACTCCCTTCCGCCCTCCTCCCAGGTCCCATCACAACAATCGCAGCCATGGCTAACCGACGGCCCCAGTACGTTTTACGTTCCCCTCCCAGGCCGAAGAGGCAGGCCAATTGAGCCCAACCGCCACCGACGAAGATCCCGGGCCATTCGCGATACAGAGAGCTTAAAAGAGAGGCTAACACCCAGCGCCAGGTTCAACCAGCAGTTCCAGGTCGACACGACCCCTCTGCCCGACGACATCCCCAAGGTCAAGGAGATTGGTGCCAGCTCCGCGCCTCTTCTGTCGGCGTCCTACTTCATCGGTGCCCGTTGCCGCGAATACAATGACGACTTCATGCAGTGCAAGACGGACAGCGCGGGCCGCGGCGAGTTTGATTGTTTGAAGGAGGGTCGTCGGGTCACCAGATGCGCCTCCAGCGTGTACGTTGAACTCTCTTCCATGCTGGCGAGCTTGATTATCATGTTGTCAATGGGGTGCCGCTCAATTGCGCCCCAATGCCGCAGACAATGGGTCGTGAGAGCAGGTGGCCTTTGATAGGGATATCGAATCGCTGACATGGGAATGACACTACATAGGCTGAAGGATATCAACACCCACTGCCTCGAGCAGTTCAAGGCCCACTGGACCTGCATCGAGAACCGTAACCACCAGCTCTACCAGTGCCGACCAGCCGAGTGGAAGCTCAACAAGTGCGTCTATGAGAACCTGGTACGTCACAATCCCGCGATTCCGGTCCATACAAAGCGATCGATTTGAACACTCCCCACTCCCTCAAATCAACACAGGATTCGCGACTAATATGGAATGTCACTAGAAACTCGAGAAGAACATTCCCGACCAGCGCCCCGGCGTCACCCCCGTCGAACTCCGCCATCACATGATCTACGCCGACCAAGCCATCAACACGCTCGAGGGCAAGCCCTTCATCCCCCCGTCAAAGCAACAAGCATCGTAGAGGTGTGGCAGGAGCAGACGGCGATATGGGGGTTTAGCGACTTCTTCCGCGTGAGCGCGCGGAGGGGGGATCGAGGGCTTTGCGTTGAAGATGTAGGACTTGGAACTAGGCGACAGAAAACGCTGTGTACATATGTCATCAATCAGAGTTGGGATCAAACCAATGGCTTCACTTTTTTTTAACCATCTTTCCTGTCCCATTCGATCCAGGTTCACTTGTTTTGATATCTACTGCCGCTCCAGCCGAGTGCTCCTGTTGGGGGGGAGACAGTTGAGACTTAGAGACCGTCTAGACTGTTTTATATCGAACGTAGGGTTCTGGGAGGCATTTAGACAACCACACATTATTGTTCTGGTCTACACACTTCTTCGGAATGCACTCAAACATCTCTCACAAAAAAAATCAACCAAAGCAGCAAAAGAGTTCACCCCCCCCCCCCGGTGCTGAACTGGGGGCTACATCTCTGGCGCACTTGCTGGGAATCGAACTCGAACTCGTAGCCTGTCGTCGAGTAGGCTGTGGGCGTAATTTGATTGTCGACCTTGAACCACTCCACCACCCAGCCAGTTTGACCTGACCCGTCGACCTAGACGGGCGCCTGCTGGCTGGTGACAGGAACGGGGTTGGAGGGGGGTATATACCTTTGGCTTCGCTCTCGTGGGCGTATTGGGCGTAGACCAGATGAATATACGGTGCGTTCACGTGATCCTGTCTTGCTCAGCTCCCCGGGTTGCTGATGGCTTTCAGGTATCCTAGGTGATGGATAACTTAACTACGAGCCCGTCTCGCTAGAAAGGTAGCTTTGGCAAGACCACTTTGACTTTTGTTGCCAATCTCTCGACTGTAGAAATCATGTTCGATATGCTGTAGCAGATAATCGACAAGCAACACCACAGCCAGTAAGGCACAACATCGTCAACAACACTTCGTCTCCTATTAGAAATACGATTCTCCCCTATCCACAACGAGCCGAGGCATCTGCTCGAGATGTCATAGCAAAGGAAGTATTTACCCGCCAGCATCCAAAACCTTGCAAGCCTTCCTACAACCTCTCACCCTCTCACATTCGCTACCTCTTGCCTCCCCATCACCACCAATCTTAGCTCAAGTATCGTCACCCCAAGACTGTCTCGCGCCTTTCGCCCCGCCACTGCTATCCGCAATCTATGTATCCCATCTTACCTTTCGTGAGACGGGTCAATCTACCTAATTTTCGCCAATCTGAGATGTCTCTAACTGGAAGGACAGACCCGAAGGCAGATTCTAGTATACCGACACAAGCCGGGCACGCTCAACTACCACCATACTCTGGCTCACGTGTACATTACCAGGTGAACCCGTAGCAGTCTGGACCCCAACAGCCGAAATGACTCTCTGCCTTGCCAAAACTCCACGAAGACATGCGACGTTGCAGCTGGAGTGATGCTCAGGTTGCTTTCACGAGCACCGGGATCGGAAAGTAAAACAAGGTAAGCGTAAGCTTTGTCTCTGAGCTGTCTGTCAGGAACTGCAGTATCCAGCTGTCAGCAGGTAACCAAAACATAAAGGGTCAGCATGAGATGAGCCGAGGAGCAGTTCGGTTACGCCAGTGAGGAAGATCTTGACTGACATCTGGTATTCGGTTCAGCAGCCGCATCAACCACGTTTTGGTAATGGTTTCTTGTTTGGAACGACTGAGATGATTCTATTTCTTAAGATGCAAATTATCACTCCAGCTTCATCACAAATATGATGTGAGGTCAATTGTGAGGCGAGCATAGCAAATCCCACGTTCTCAACAAAGCCGACTACAACTTGATAGTACTAGTAACCAACACATCATGCTGCCAGGTAAAGGTTCCCTCCTTTGGGCAAGACCAGCCGGTGTATCCCAACCGTGAAAGCACAATTTACCTCTGACGCGGGGCCTCACGCGGGACAAAAACGCCACCAACCTTTGATTCACCTCCTTTGTCGAGACGTAGTACACCTTTGTGGCCAGCCTCCCGAGCCTCCGTAAACTTATTATTCTCATCCCAAGGCAGAGCCATGCGCAGTCCCACGCAGTCCTGTATGGCCCGCCAAGTTGGAGCGTCCTGTCGGGGTGGGCGAGAAAGTACACTTTGGCCGAAAGGTTACGAGTGCGGCTTCTCCTTCCCTGACGCGAACCTGCCATTTAAAGTCTACAGATGCCTAGCATCTCGCTGTAGCATTATTTATGCCAGTTCGAGTCTCCTTTTTTGACTTTTTCTGCTTCTAATTCACCTCACTTTATTAGCCGATCGTTGTATTTGCCTTGAGATATTTTCACATTCAGATAAAAGCATGCTATCTGGCTGAAACATTAGGTGAGGTATGGTGACAATGACGGGTTCGAACCCCGATTCAACATCTTACTCAGACCTTCTGCTCCACGCAGACTACCTCTCAAGCAAGGCGAAAGCTATAGTAGCAGGAAGCCGTCTGCGGGTGGGTAGGACGTTGTGTCGTGTGTCAAACAATATGGACGGGCAAGCGTGGTGAGAGACGATGGAGAGAGTACAGACAGAAAGCTGACGGGATAGTTTTCTCCTGCGCGACGGCGGCACAGGCATCTCACTGACGAGGCTTGTCCGATCTAAATCACTGTGGAAAGAAACCAGACAACCGTAGCAGCTTATGTATTCGAGGAGAGCACACGAAAGGTATTACAGGTTCTAGAAAGGCTATTCGGATACAATTGCCCGGAGCAGGGATAATGAAGAGGACCAGCTGGGTAGGATGTGTGTCTCATCATCCTTGAATGTCTCTATCCGAGGTATTGGGCTGGGGATTATGAGTCCGATGCCACCACGAGAAGCCATGCAGGCGAATCCAACATCTCTACTCAGTCTAGAACCTTGATGCCACTTACCGGCAGAGACCGACAGAGACTCATGCTCTCGTCCAGGGGGAGTCGTACGAGCACTGGCGGCAGTCGGCCATGTATTCTCCCCCAGAGTTGTCCGGTCTGGGACTCAGAGTGCGGGGCCATCCGATCCAAGAACCGCGGCAATGTCGTCGTACAGTATCTAAGCATGACCGAGTGTTATATATTTGCCACGTCGAGCAACCATTGCTAAGACTCTACTTGTTAGATGATCCTCCGTCGTTAAAGCGGTGGGCATCCTCAACCCGGGCGTTGCCTTGTTGTCTAAGACACTGGACTAGATTGTGAACCCCGTGTTCAGATCCTGCGGCATTCGACCCCTTGGATCTGACTCCTTCATTGAGACTTCGTCA